ATCTGCTTAAGGGTGTTCAAGGCGCACGGATGCGCAAGTGCTTGTGGAAGTACAGGGCTCGATGCCTTCTGGAGTTTAAGGGGTTATAGGGATTATCTTATGGGTTTAGAGTTTAAGAATGTGCTGTTCCAGGTCATACTATACCAGAGCATGTTCTCATGGTCCCATGGTCTACAAAAAAAGCCCTGATGAGCAAGAAAATACCTGCAGGGAAAAGCCCTATGGGGCCCTGGCTGAAGGAAGGCTTCATGGCCTCACTTTGCTTCAGTCATGCTACGAGCGAAGGAATGGGTGTTCGATGCCGTTTCCCTGGGAAGACACAAGTACTGGAAGAAGATCCGTGCTGTCACAGGCTCTGTCACGGTGCCGATGCTTCCATCACGCGTCAAACCCCACACGGGCGAAGCTCATGATGTGGGAAGGGCTCTTGATGCTGAGCAATGATAGCTATGCAAGAAACAGTGTGCGGGCGCCTGAAAACAGCCAGGCCCGCGAATGTATGCGAGCATGTTGACCCTCTTGACACGGGCTTGGCTGTGCCGGTTCCTAGCTACAGTCAGAGCCAGAGCCTACGCAGACGGAGGAGATGCCGCAGCTTGAAGACGAATGTGTGAGGAGATTGAAAAGATGCCCTTGCCATGGCACCATGGACCCTGTGCTGCTGGCAAGTTCTTCTGGCATGCATGTCACCGGGCCCCTGCCTCAGAAGGAGGCTATAGTGTGGCCATGTGAGGCCCCAGGGAGGCTCAGATATCTTCAGCGCTGGCGTGCGTTCGTTTCAGTGCGCTTTGTAGGGTCCCGAGGCACCAGCCGTGATGAGGCCCTGGTGCGTCCCGAATCGGAAGACCGGGACGAAGACCTCCAACCTGAACCCAGCCAGAGACCGATTCCTATTCGGGGCCTAGAGAGGAGAGACCCGACCTGAAGGTGAACGTGTAGTTGCAAAGAAGGCTATACTTCTCACCCTGCTTACAGCAGCCCCGCCTCAACCCTAAACCCTAAACCCTAAACCTAAATCCTAAACCCTAAACCCTAAACCCTAAACCCCAAACCCTAAACCTAAACCTTACCTCCTCATACAGTAATCCCTTCAGCTTGGCGAGCAATGCCAGGGCCCGCACTGCCCGGTCACTGCAAGGTCCGCCTGGGAAATGGGGAACCTGGAGTCCATCTGGGTTTTGGGGTTTAGGGTTTAGGGTTTAGGGTTTGGGGTTTAGGGTTTAGGGTTTGGGGTTTCGGGTTTGGGGTTTAGGGTTTAGGGTTTGGGGTTTAGGGCTTAGGGTTTAGGGTCTGGGGTTTGGGGTTTGGGGTTTAGGGTTTGGGGTTTAGGGTTTAGGGTTTCGGGTTTTACGTTTTGCTGGAGGCTAACCCGACCTAAAGCTACCCATAAACCTCCACGTGAGGTTTAGGGGTTGAGGAGTTGAGGGGTGGAGGAGAGGAGGGGTGGAGGGGTTTAGGGGCTCAGGGGTTTTAGGGGTTTAAAGTTTGGGGGTTAGGGGCATCGGGGCTCTAGAGGTGTTAGCCTTCGCTTTTGCTTCTGGGCTCCCATCTGCCCAAAAGCCTCACCGGGCTTAGGGTTTAGGGTTTAGGGTTTGGGGTTGAGGGTTGAGGGTTTAGGGTTTAGGGTTTCGGGCTTAGGGTTTAGGGCTTAGTGTTGAGGGTTTAGGGTTCAGGCGCTTCCAACTTCCTAAAGCAGCTTGGGGCCCCCTGCGTGTGCAGGGCCCATTTGGCAACCGGGGCTCGCTGCCGCCCGCCCATGGCGGAGGAGGCTCGAGACCTTCCCGAGGCTCAGGGCTGAGTACCACAATTTAGGGTTTAGGGCTTAGGGCTTAGGGTTTAGGGTTTAGGGTTTAGGGTTTATTTAGGGTTTAGGGTTTAGGGTTTAGGGTTTGGGTTTGGGGTTGAGGGTTTAGGGTTTAGGGTTTAGGGTTTAGGGTTTAGGGTTTAGGGTTTAGGGTTTAGGGTTTAGGGTTTAGGGTTTAGGGTTTAGGGTTTTGGTTTAGGGTTTACTGTTTAGGAACCTGTTCGAACCCTGATAATTGCACGTTTCGTGTAAAGTACCAAAACATGCTCGTCCGAAATTCAATGGGCCCTCAATTGGGGGTCTTGTGTCGAGATTGTGGATCTCAGGAAGGCTGCAGGTTAATTGGTAAAGCAAGAGAGCAAGAGCTTCAGCACTCAGCTCCTGGCACTGTTGACTGACGCGAGGCGCTGTTGCCACGCGAGCGGATGCCACTGCTGCTCCCAAGCGACTGCAGAACAGAGGATGCATCTGCTGGGTCGTGGCTGTCTGAATGCTTTTTTGGTATTACGCTACGGTGCTGAGCAAGGACCCTCCCTTGCTCCCTTGCCTCTGTCTCATGCTCCTCGTAAGACAGGATGACCAAGCTGCTCTCCTCAAGGCAGACACATCCCTCCACACAGGGCCGTGCAGCCCAGACTTTGGAGGATGGAAAGTTTGGTTTGCAATACCCGAAGCATGACTCACGTCTCCGGGAGATGGAGAGATGTGCTTGAACCCACGCAGGGTGGTGCTGATCCATTTTCACGACAACGCTCGTCTAGCCTCAGCTCATCAACAGTCCTCGGTGCTGGTGCTCATGTTCCACATCGTAGCCTTCGAACGGGAAAACTTTACAACAAACTTTGCTGTCCCAGCTCTTCACTGCTGCATCCTACTTCAGCCCAACTGAACCTTGTGAAAACCCTCCTGCAGCCCTCAACCCGAAGCCCGGATGCTTGAACTTGCTAAGTTCGTAGCCCTAAACCCTAAACCCTAAACCCTAAAATCTAAACCCTTAAAGCTTCTGTATCTATGAACTGGCGGCTGCCTTCTCCCCAGGCATGCGGAAGGTCCCGATGGACTCAACCTGCTGCAGACCACGGCGGAGTCCGAATTGGCCCAAGGGCTTAGGTTTAGGGTTTAGGGTTTACGGTTTAGGGTTCAGGGTTCAGGGCTCAGGGTTCAGGGCTCAGGGCTCAGGGTTCAGGGCTCAGGGTTCAGGGTTCAGGGTTCAGGGCTTTCAGGGCTCAGGGCTCAGGGTTCAGGGCTCAGGGTTCAGGGTTCCGGGTTCAGGGCTCAGGGTTCAGGGTTCAGGGCTCAGGGCGCAGGGTTCAGGGTTCAGGGTTCAGGGTTTAGGGTTCAGGGCTCAGGGTTCAGGGTTCAGGGCTCAGGGTTCAGGGCTCAGGGTTTAGGGTTTACGGTTTAGGGTTCAGGGTTCAGGGTTCAGGGCTCAGGGCTCAGGGCTCAGGGCTCAGGGTTCAGGGTTCAGGGTTCAGGGTTGAGGGTTCAGGGTTCAGGGCTCAGGGCTCAGGGCTCAGGGTTCAAGGTTCAGGGTTCAGGGTTCAGGGTTCAGGGTTCAGGGTTTAGGGTTTAGGGTTTAGGGGTTTAAGGTTTTAGGGTTTAGGGTTTAGGCTTGGGAACCCACTTCCACGAGCATAGGCCTGGGCTTTGGCGGAGACTCGGAAGACACCGATGTAGCCCTGGTCGCCCCCGACCACGAAGCCCTGCAACCAAGCCTGCCGAAACAGCCGGCGCAGGCTTAGGGCCCGGGGTTGGTCTCGACGCACAACCCCCAAATCTTCCGACCACCATCTGCAATCCGAAAAGTCATCTTCAAAGATCCCTTTAAAAAGCATGGGGGTTTACGATATTGGTGGTGCCTTCTTTGGGTCCTTCTTATAAAGGGGATCCTACTATTTGGGGGGTCTATATATTAGGGGTCCATTATTCATCGTAAACCCCCACATTGACTTTAACTTTGCAGTGTCTTGTGTTATAAAGGCCGGTGGTCTCTTTATCTGCTACCCTTACACCTTAAGCCCCTAGATACCTTCATAAGAACCCCCTACAAGACAGAAACCCTACTTAAAGAGACCACCAACCATTATAAGTCTTGCGAAAGAAACACTCCGCGCACCGTCATTGCCGTAAGTCGCACCGGCGGCGGCTCCGCCGCAATGGTGGGGCCGGCCTGGCCCAACCCCTGAGTTTAGGGTTGAGGGCTTGGGGTTTGGAATTTAGGGTTTAGGGTTTAGAGTTTAGGGTTGAAGGTGTAGAGTTTGGAGTTTAGGGTTTAGGGTTAGCCAATTTCAATCGATGCCTTCGGCTTTCGGGGGGTGTTGGTTGGTTGTGTGAGACGTGCTGAATCATCAAACGCCAAGGGCCTTTGCAGATCGAGCCTGCACCCCTTGAGCCAAAGAGGCTCACAACCGAAAACTTAGCGAAAATTGCGCAGACCGACCTCGCCCATGATCTTCGCGAGCTCCATGGCCTTGGCGACAAGGGTTTTAAGGCCCCTGGACAGCTTCACACCCCACTCCAGAAACCCGACCAACATTTGGAGGTTTCCGGACAATCAGAGCTCACTTTGGTGTCCTTTGCAGGAGATTCTACTATATTTGGGGGCAAAGGGGGCGCGATTGTCCCATCCAACTCAACTTGACATGATTGTATGGGTACCTGTGATAGTAGAGGACTGCCCCACATTGTCTGGCCTGCTCCCGCTCGACAGCTTTCGGGCCTGGGAAGCAGGACATCATATTGCTTCTGAAGCGTTGATCTCAATGAAGAGCTTCGTGGGCTCGGAAGCAAGTGTTCGACTGCCTATTGAAGCGGACGGCTGATGCTACCTGCAAACTGTACCTTTAGGTGAAGTTTACGGTCCTGATGTTTAAACAATCTGCACACGCAGCTGCTTTCAGGAATTGAGCGTGCCTAAGCCTTCACATGCAGCTGCGGCCACGACAATGTAGTCCCGACACTCACATGTTTTGGTGCTGAAACAGACGAGCGCTCGGCCCGTAGACTCATCGCGCGCAATCTGGGCACGCACATCAACGTCCTGAGGGAAAGGCTTGTGGAGTGTTTAGGGGCTCAGCATCTTGGGTCTAGGGGCTCAGGGCCCAAGGCAGCTGCTCAGTTCCTCGAACCGGGTCCATCGGAGCTTCAATTTTTCCGCAACGGCAGTGTCAGGTTCAACCACAAATTCGCAGTGTTTTCAGCTGTCCTCACGAAGTTCTCCATCTTCGAAAACGAAGACATGCCCATCCTGCCACCCGGTCGCTGTCTCTTCAGCTTTACGGGTCGCTTCGACGTCCCTGTCATAAATGTCCCACTGCCCTCAAAGTGAGTGGGAGTCAGGGTCGTAAAGTGTTGGGGTCATGCGAGTCGTGCAGGGCCCACCTCCGACGCGGCGCAGAGGAAAACGGACAGCACCCAGCAGTGCTCCACGACCTGGCCATTGGCTGCTTCCAGTGGTTCAGGCACGCTCTTCCCATCCCTAGAGCTGTCGTTGCGAGACATTGCTGTTTATGGCCGCGATTCGACACTGCCTTCATCTGCTTCTCCTGCTTGAGCGGGAACAGGGAAGGGTTCTCGTTCAGGCCATGATCCTGGCTGCAAAAGAACGGGGGCGCGTGGCTGCAACGGATGTCTCAGAGTCAAATCCGAGGCTGCCGCGTTGGGATTGTAGTCCCAGAGTCGGAGGTAGGAGTACCTGATACCAGCCACAGCCGTTCCAAGGCGAGAATGATAAAAAGGGCTTCCTCTTGAAGCCCGAGATCGCTTGGGTGGCACAGTGGTATAAGGCAATGGCCCTCCGACGGAGAACTGCGTCGCGGTGCTCGGATTCACTAGGAGCCGGTTGACCTGGTCACTCCCGGGCTGCCAGACGCCCAAGATCCAAAGATCTCCTGTATACCGTCGCCCCCAATATCCCCCAATTGCATCTAGGCTTGCGGCCGGAATCTGCATGTCGTGAGAGGACATCAGCTTCTCGACATCCCAGCGCCAGTAAGAGACCTTGAAAAAAAAACAGCAGATGCAGAATGCCACCTCGACACTCCACCTGTAGCAACCCCTCTGTTCCTATGCTGAAGCTTGACCGTCCGAGCCCTCATTCCCCCCAATAAAGCGAACGCCAGGTGCTGGGCTGTGGAGTCGGGCATACTCGACAGGGACACGAGGTGCTTGCCATCCGTCGTGAAGGCGAGGTCTGGCTTGCGGGATTGGTGGAGATATAAGTGCTTTGCTTCAAAAAAACACAATTGGTTTATGTCAACACCAGCCGGGGCATCAAAACCGGCATCGGCGACGTCTCTTATCGTAAGAAGAAGGCGGTCAACGGCCGATAGCCCATATATGGTACACCACAACCCAAGCTGACGAGCAAATTTGCACGGCGCACCGACAATGTCGAGTCGCTTGTTTGTCGGGTGCAGAACTTTCAAGGACTCGTCTCTCACATCCTGGAGCAGGTTCTCATGCTTGTGACGAGGTGACTTCAGACCCAAAATCCCGAAAGCTCGAGATGTCAGAGCCTTGCTTTCCCCGATGGTCTCCACCTGGCCCGCAAGGGTCTCTTGTCGCATGCACCCTCCAGGATCACAAGACCCCTTTCTGCGAGTATTGAGGTGTATAGGGCTTAGGGGAGCAGGGCCCACATGACAATGATGCATAGATCCACAGGCCTTCGGCAAGCTGAGCACAGTGATCTGTGCAGCCTAGGGACATCGCGGGGTTTGGTTGGGGCTTCAGGGTTGGACCTCAAGCCCTCGACCTGCAAGAACTTGAACCCCTACATGGCCACCATGACCGATGGCTTCACTGCGTGCTTAGGGGCTACTTGGGCTAATCTTGGGCGGCTGCATGCTGGTTGGTGGCATCATCGGACCTCACAGTAAGGTTCGGCGAGTCCAGGAGATTGTTTTGTTTTTTTTTTGTTGGGGGGGGGGGGGGGGGGGGTATCAGCGTCAGCTGCACATCAGCTACGGGCAGCTGAGATCTCGGCCCGACACGCTCGCCTACAGCTATCAGCTTGCCGTTTGGAGACCTGGGAGTCAGCAGTCTTCTTGCTCGCTCTGGGAACGTTGGGCATGTTCCCGATATCCATATATACATATATACATATATACATATATACATATATACATATATACATATATACATATATATATATATGTATACATATATATATATATATATAGAAAAGGTAAAGAAATGAATGGATTTGGGAACAGTCGTTTACTCGGAGCCCTACGTCTTCCAAAGCAACTCTCAACTTGCAGCCATGCAGCTTGGTCAAGGCAGTGATGATCCGGTTCCTGCTCCGTCCCATCATAATAACAAACATTATAATAATGATGATAATAATGATAATAAATAATAACAATAATAATCATAATAATAATCATAATCATAGTCATAGTAATAATAATGATGATATTCATAATAACTACTCAAAATAATCATCATAATAATCATACTAAGAATCATCGTCATCATCATAAGAATGATAACAATGATAGCGAATACGGGTGACGAGAAACAGGCTCCGGTAAAGCCCGTCAAAGAACCCTGTGGCAGCCCCACACCGCCCTTAACAAAGCCCGCCAAGGTCCCACGTTTCGAGGGCCCTAAACCCTTCAAAACCCTAAACCCTCGACATGAAACCCTCACCTAAACCCTAGACCCTAATCCAGCCCTAAACCCTCCCCGAACCCTAAACCCTAAACCTGAGCCCTCAACCCTAAACGACAAATTCCCGGCGCCTGGCGTCACGGCCAAGGAAGCCGAACCTCTGCCGGCTTTGGTGGCAGAGGGCAATGTGCCGACCTCCGGGTTTTGGGCAAGTTTGCAGGTAAGGCTTCTAAGGGTCGTGTTTTTTGCGAATGAAGAGCTCAAAGGCTGATGACTGAGGGCTGTTCATCAACTGAAGATTGAGAATAGGAACTCTCTTTCCAGCAGCCAGGCCCCTGTGTGGTTTAGAGGTGGCCTGCACAAACAGAGTCTTCACGTTTCGTGAAGCCGTGGCTTATGAAGCCGAAGCTTACCCCAGCTTTCCTACTAAAGCTCGGAGGGCCAGAGCAGTGCTAAATTTAGATATTTCATTGAATAATGAAAATAATAGTCTTTTAGACATGATTGACAAAATAGTATATTAAGGATTTATACTAATAAACATAACAATATTATAGGGGTTCGCGGTTAGGGCTTGGGATTCGGGGTTTGGGGTCTGGTCGTTGGGGATGCTTCGGCTGCACACCCCCATCTAAGTGCAGGGCCTACACAGAATGCAAAGGCATCTTCTCCCAAGGAGATGACCTGAGACAGCTTTGGCGCGTCAGGTTCAGAGCTGCTGGCTTGGCAGAGCCTCTTCTTGACGGCAGGATGCCCGGGTTTGCCTTTTGTACGGCCACTATGTGATCTCCATGTACAAATCTCATACGACCACCCCAAGCAACACCCTGAACCCCGAAACCCTACACGCAACCCCCTGCAACCCCATGACGGGCCCCGGGCGGCATCCTTTATGGGGCTCGGATAGACCCCAAACCTCAGCTTGCAGAGGCCGACGGGACTCTAAGGGTGGACATGCGAAGGAGATTGTGGGCCAGCCAGGTTTTCCGCATTTCGTGGATTCGGGTTTAGGGTTTAGGGTTTCGGGTTTACGGTTTAGGGTTTAGGGTTTAGAGTTCAGGGGTAGCATCACCGACATCTGCTTTTGGGCTCCCAGCGCGTGCGCGAGCCGAAGCGAGACATCTGGCTCCGCCTCGGATGGAGCAGCCCGGGTGTGTTTTCTTCTCCTTTCGGAAGCTTCTCACAACTTCTTGCACTCTAATAGTAGTAATAATAATAATAGTAATAATAATGATTTTATACTAACAAGAATAGTAGTAATAGTAGTAGTAATATGGCTGAGGTGACTGAGGTGGGCACTGAGGAGACATGCGACAAGGCACCTTCGCAGGGAGGGAGGTCAGGCGAGATCCCTCAGTGGGCAAAGAGAACTCTGCCTCCCGCAGCATCAGAGGGTGACGTCGCCATTTGGCGCGAATATTGAGCACTGCCTGTTTAGGTGTAGGGTGGGCTTCTGGTTGCTGAGAAAATTTCATTGGCTCGGCTTATGGGTCTTCAAGTCTCTTGTGCATTCCCCCTTCTTCTGCTGCTCCTGCTGTCCTGAGGTCCTCTGCGTACTTCAAGTCAGTTTGATCCAGGGTGTGCAGATGCAAGCATTCAAGAGCTGCTTGCTTCCGCCGGGCTGCTGAGGACCAAGAGCCCGGGTTTAAGGGGGGGTTGTCGGGTCAACACTGCTCCTCGAATTCCAAGCACACCTCCCCACCAAAGCCAGAACGTTCAGAGGAGCAACCTAGGGTCCAGCTGAGATTCTCCGATGGGAGGAGCACCAAAGGATCTTAAGCCAGAGGGTATCATTACTTGGGATGTTTCCCCTATACTAGCAGTCTAAGGATTATAATGGGGGGGGGTACGCATAATCCCTATTAAGGACTGGTAGTATAAGGGAACATCCCCTAATCACTACACAAGCGGAGCTGGGAGCGGTTTTTTTGGATGCACGGTCTCCTTCATCTTCTACAGTTGCCTCTTGCATGAAGACCAGCCGAGCAGATTGTCGCCGATCCTCTACCAAGACCGAGTTCGTGACACAGCAAAACAGAGGCAGAGAAATCTTCCCGAAGAAAAGGCTCAGAGCCGTGACCAATGCCATGGGGAGAAAATAACTCGGCTCTGGCAGTCCCAAACCCTAAACCCTAAGCCCTAAACACTAAACCCTAAGGCAAAACTTCGTTTCCACTGGTCGGCAGCGAACCTTTAGGCCAGCAACGGCCTCACAAAAACGTTGTGTCAGCAATGCTCGCCGGGGGCCAGCTTCAAGGAATAGGACGATTCGAACCGCTAGGAGGATGACCAGATCTCTGCAACGCTTCTCTTTAAGCCTGAATACAGGAGGAGGAGTAGCCTTGTACAGCCGCATGAACCTTCTAGACCATGCCTCCAAGCAAGCAAAGCTCTGTGGCAGTTCCGCGGAAGCACGGGGGAGCGAGAGATCTTGAAATAGTCACACCATGCACAAGCACAGAATTTGGCCCGCAAAACAGGTTCCCTGGCAGGAATACAAAGTATGTAGCAACGTAGCATCAGATTTCACTAATCCCCTAGAAGCTTTCAGAAATAAAGCACGAAGCTCTGATACTTGGTGCCATCATGCCCATGGGCCAAGGCAGGCGAGAAATCGCCTGTCCCTCCTGTCAGAGGCCGCTCAGCTGTCATGTTGATGTTGACTCTCGCTCAACCCTCGTGGTTGTGGAATTCGACGCAAGGCCAGTGTAAGGTACCTTGGTTTACGCGTGATCCGCCGATCTGTCTTTGGGCCGGTCGGCCCTGAACCACGCACCAAGAACTGGAGTACTCATCGGCTCATTGGCCCTCCAACTGCAATCAGCAGTGCGGCCATCAGGATTCACAGCAGATGACTCTTCAGGCATTCACAGAGACCAATTATTTCTTCTTCAAAGTGCTGTGAATCCTGAAACACACTGTACCCCATCAGCAAAACTTTGAAAGCCTCCGGCTGCTAAGCATTCCGCGGGAAAGGTATGTCAGGCGCTCCTGTTCGCTCTGCAGCCTTCCCTGGCCGGGGACCAAGCCGGAGGACAAATCTTCTCAAACGAGACAAATTGACAAATGATTACAACAATGCACCTGCAATGATGCAAGGTCTGCTCACAGAAAACTCGCGTGGCACTAGCCTACAATCCAGTTGCCGCAGATACACCAGCCAACGCTGTCAGCCGGGCCCTTTCCACCAGCCTAAGCGCAGCCAGCTGTGCGGTACATCTGCAGCAACTAGAGCCACGGTCTCGGGCAGGACTTCACGACTGTTCTCTGCACTGCTCACCATCTTTCGGTGATGCAAATTTGGGTGAGCGCGCGCAGCCAACCAGCAACATGACACACGCAAACACATTTCTATACTTATATGTGTATACACACCTTCAAGGTACGCAAAACATGATACCACATTATAACACAGACGATTTGCCGACAGACTGTAACAGACTGGCTGCGCAAACTCACCAGTACACACAAGGTTGTAGGCATGGAACAAGAGGAAAGAACGCCTGCTCTTTGTGCCTGCATCCCAAAAGCAACCTTGTGAGAAAGTGACCCTCTCCTTGTCTCAAGCATCAAACAGGTGCATGTGTCAGCTCGACAAACTTGGCAACAACCATACTGCACTGGCATCGATAAACAAAACATCTCCCCGGAACAGGGCCGCTTCAACTTCCAAGGCGATCAGCCTGCTCAGCCAACTTCATGCTTGCCATCAACTCTGTCACGCTGGGAGCCTGCATTAAACGTCTAAACCGTTATATTATTTATGAATATGTTCTTATATTATTCTAAGATTACATCATTATATAATGTGATATTATCTTCTTGAAAAAGTACATAATTCTGTTTATTGTTAACATTCTTGTATGTTGTCGATAGTACTTTGCCTTTGCCTTATTACACGATTACATTGTTTCAGTCTTATCTTCTTATCTTCTTATCTTATTATCTTATT